CAGAATTCCCCAGCCAGGCTGGCTGGGGACTTCTGGGAGTTGAAGTCCACTCATCTTAAAGTGGCCAAGTTTGGACAACACTGTTCTAGGGTGATAGACTCAGTGAAAAGTTGAAGAGGCAGTAATAAATTGTTGGATATTGTTGCTGTCAATATCCCTAATTCCCAGCCAGCATAGTATAATATTATGTTATATTATCTCTTTATGTGGTCGCTAAGAGTCAACACTGACTTGATGGCACATAATCAGTCATAATTATATTTTGAGGTCTGAAATCAAACACATCATTTCCTGATGATACCAGATCAAGAGAAAACTGATCTATGGGATCACAGACAAATTTCAAAATTGCAAACAGTGGGCATGTATATTTGGAAATTCAGACTGATGATTTTGAAAAACAGCCCAGAGAGGATTAGGGAAGTTTGGAGTCAAGAGGGAGATATATTTTGCATATTTTTCTACAGCAAATGCCAAATGACTAGAGGTAGCATACTGCATGCATGCCTGCATGCACACACACACTTTCAAATCTAAAATAATGTAAATGATAATGTAATGGCAAATTAAGAGAATAACACAAAACAATTATTGTAACATGAATGATCTTTTGTATGATCTTCTGATAATTTAAAAGTTCTGTTCAGTTACTAACCTTTGTGCTCTGTACATGTATTTAGAATTTCCTGTTAGCCTGTATAGGAGCAGGAACACATAAGCACTGCCAGCCACCCCATGACATATTCCGGGTCCTTTTTTCAGCAGTCCTTTCTGCCAAGTTAGCTCTCCACAGCGGATACAAGTGTCTAGATACTGGGGCTTTTTAGAAACCAAATATGCTTTTGCAAACATGTATGCAATGCCTGAGGAAAAAACAAAGTGATGTCGTAAGAACCACTGAAGAAATAAATGAAGAACCAATTGCTACAGCACGCATGAAAACAGAAAATCTGCAGTTAGCCCAGGGATATAAAATGCAAATAAGGTGCCAAATAAAGCCTAAAAACAGTCACTTTTTTCCCTTTTAAAAGCCCACCATTACCCAAGAAGTTGTTTCATTCTGTGATAAGACTATCTGAATGTTCAAATTTCCTAGTATTCCTCACTGCTTTTTAGTCTATTCTCACAATGTTTTGCTCCCTTTAAAAATGAGATTATTGCAGATTTTAATTGGCAAGCAATTGGAACTGGCGTATGGAAGAAATATGTGGAACGGGGGGGGGGGGTAAACAAACCCTTTCATTTTGTTTGCATCCTTGTAAATAATGTGTTGCTTTCAAACTGAAAGTTCAGAGTGCACAATTAAACTGTCCCAGCTAAAATTAATGATGTTATCTTAAGCAGCTGATTCAAAGAATCATAAAAGGATAGAGTAATAGAAATGGAGATACACACACACGGGCATTCTAATAGCCATTATTACGAGATTTTCTGCTTTCAAAATATCTTTTGTGGAGAGGACCTATTTGCTGTTCTTCTACAAAGAGCAAACATTTAGGGCTGGCCTTATCTGTTTATGCTGTGGGCCAGTTTTATATTCTGATCTTCATGGCTTTATACAAGGATAGGAATACTGACAGAAATCAAATAGATACAGTACATTCACAAAAAGAGGGATCCTATTTTATCCTTTGCAAATAGATTTCATACTCATCAGCCTAATGAAACCTGCTAGAATGATGTTATAAACTACAGCAACAAACAAGGCACTTTGAGTACAATTGTGGAGTCCCGTAACTCCTTTACATTTTCAGTGGAAGCTTGTTGGCATCTGTACTTGTAAGATTTTAAAGAGAGCTCTCCATTACTTAAACTTTTGAGTTGTTTCAGTAATAGTAAACCTGTGTAAGATAACGATAGTAATTCTACAAATGTGGAAACCTGACTTCAAATGAATAGTTAACATTTGCCCTACTTTCTCAGCAAAATGACACTAATTTGGGGAGCTACTTTATAGTATCTGTATGAGAACCTGGAGCTCCATGACACCAGTGTACAAGTTCATTCTCTCGCTCAATCATCTCTCCCAATTCTGGAGGCCAGTTGCAATTCTGTTCTTGATCCATGAGAAAATCAACACTCTGCCATACTAGTTCCTGATCAGCTGGTGGGAGATATTCATAATAGGAAAGCAGCATTTGTAGGATAGATGAGAGTCCATGGGCAGCTCCTGCAAAAAGCAGAAATAAAGTAAGTAGTGTGGAACCATTTTCCATGGGGTTTGATTTTTGAAAGGGATCAGAATAATGCTATACTCCAGGGTCAACCAACTGAACGATGGCAGATTCTGGGTAAATAAAAAACAGGGTGGTGCAAAGCAGCACAGCTTTTGGAATTAGAACAAAGCAGTGGTGCCACAAGGAAAGGGGGGCCCTTCAAGGCTTCACACAAGCCCATGAAAAGATAAATGTATTACAAACTAAGTCATGCTGTGTAATTCATTATTATGATATGTACTGATTGTTGCCAACTTGGATGACTTTAAGAAGAGCCATTTAAAAAGAAGATAGCATTCAAGGAGGATAAGTCCATCAATGACTGCTAGGTCAGCCATAATGATTATTAGGGCTGTCCACGACATCACATTTGATTCCAAAAAGGCATGCAATTCCATTAAAATATGCAGCTGCTTTAAAGACAATGCTATGTTTATGCCCCCGTGCTCCAAAACCCTTTTTGAAATTGAATCCAAAGTGCTGCACAGCTTTAATGGCTATGTCCCTATTGCAGGCAGTGGGCCCCAATGTGTAGAAAATGCTATTATGCTCGGGTCCTTTCTGCAGTCTTCCCAAGGACTTCTGATTGGCTAATGTGGTGGTGGGTTGGTGGTGGGCAGGATTACATGGTCTTTGTAACAGGACCAGCTGTATTATTTTTATGGTCTTACATTACGAAATGTCTTCCTGTCAAAGAAAGCTCACCCTTACAAAAGGGAGTGATTGAGCATCGCCTCAATATGTGTTAATTTCCAGCTTGACAAGCCAAAAGAAGGGGAAGAGACAGAGACCACTTTCTTTGAAATGGCAAGTCACCAGTGGATCACTAACTTTAAAATGTTCCTCTTTAAAAAGATAGCTGAGACACCATCCCCCATTTTGTGTGGATGAAAAACCTTGGCTATCTGGAGTCCTTACTCTGGGCCTGCCCAAATAAGATTTCTGCTTCATTTTATTTTTCAGTATGACTGTTAAGCCAAAATCCTTCAACTGAATGTTTCTAGGTTCTCTTTTATTACTTTTTCACTACTTCAAAGACTGGAGTTTTGCTTTGACCCTTTGATATAGCCTTTTTTGTCCTGTGGGCTACATGTTTTGGGCCATAATTCTCATTCATCCTCACCCCTTAACCAGATCTGGTAGTGATTACCCAACTAATGAAAGAAATAGGTTCTCATTTACCAGGGTATCAATTTGCTCAGCAGACTTCCTGCTTTGCCAGCACCTGTTCTTTGTCAGTTGCCAAGCTTCACACTAGGGCTCGGCAATAAATCCAGAAACTGTTGATTTAGCTCATGGCTAGACTTAGCAGACCTAGCTTCGGCTAGTTTAGAATCTTCACTGCAGACAAGAACAATGAAGCCTGAACACAGTTGATTATAGAACAAGAATTTGGGCCCTTTAAGTTTCTGTGCATGACCGTTTAAACTCTTAGCCATTTTTCTTCTGTATTTTTGAGTTAACAGATATTTGGTGGTTGGCTTGGTGCCCTTGGGCGGCTCAGATATGGTTATCTAATGCTCTTATCTAGCTTGGAAACCATCAGCTTCAGCCCTTGCACAAGGGGCCATTCCATCCTGGATGGGAAAGGGGGGCCCTTTGGAGCCTGGAGAATATATAGTTCTATCTCAAGTGCAAGATTGGATGTGATATTCTCCTATAATATGATTAGGTCCACTGTTCAGTTAAGTACATTTACGCATGAGTAAAAGAATTAATAATTTGTATGCTTTTTGTTACCTCTTGGTGGAAAGGATAATTTCTCTTTTAAGATACAGTATGCTCTGGGTTGGATTTTTCTTCCAGCAATGTTATTTTAAAATAATGTTGTTGTTTTTTTAAAAAAGCATTTTGATTATTTTTGATCAAATGTTTTTGATCAAATGTTTTTAAACAGATTAAATTACCTTTAACCTTTAATATAAAATAATTTTATGTTCTGCATCAGAGAAAACCAAAATGCTCCTGAGAAGCATACATACAGTACAGTATATTACTGTGATGCAGAGATTTCATACTGAACAGTACAATCTTATTCTGAATTTAGTCTCATTAAGTTTATGGGGCCTTATTTCTAAGTGCATAAGACAGCTTTCTTCAACCTGGTGCTATTCAAATGTGTTGGGCTTGAACAGTCAACATACTTCTGGCCTTACTTTATGACGAAGATGGGAATTATAGTCAAATACATTTGGAGGACACTAAGTTAGAGAAATCCAAAGTATATAGTTATCATGATCCCAAACAAGATGACTGTATTACAATACAACAGAAATATGACATTAGAGAGAACTTGTGTTAAAATAGAAGTTTTTACTTACCAAGATATTCTGTTCCATAGTAAGAATACATGAGGGGAACTGGTTTTCTTTTCCTCAGTGCATATTGTTTTCCAGATTCTAACACTGCCTGACAAATTGACTTGATTTGTGTTGGAGTCAGTATCTAAATGTGGGGGTGGGAATGGGGATTGGAGAAGAATATCAGAAAGTTATAGATGTTAATTATAATTCCTAAAAACTGCTTGCAAAGTATCTAATGTATAATTAGTAAATCTCTAAATTTCTGTCAGCTGATCAACCTATTATTCCAGGTACATTGCTATAACCTGCAAACTGTCCATGAAAACAATTAGATCCACAGTTGAAGATTTGGCAGATTTTTTAAAATTAGTATGTGACTTATACTTTCCTACTGGACCAGACTGTTCCATTGTTGTACAGATTTTACAATTTTTCCTCCTATTAAGAGCAATCCAGGTGGCTGCAACATGTACCCATTATTTTGGTCCTAATTCCTATGGTAATGAACATTAGTTCCTGACAATCTTCCCTGGGGCACCCTTTTATGCACCTGGACAATGACATCACATGTCCCTTTAGACTTCTTTTCTCCAGACTAAACATCCCAGGTTCCTTCAGCCTGTCCTCATAGGGCATGTCTTCATGTCCCTGAGATGATGAGGTACATGTTGCAAGATGCAGGATTGGCAGATAAATACTAGGGAGAAGCAGTTAATACAGTGAGCAAAGCAGGTTCCTGTCAGGTTCAGCCCAAGAAACTCAGTGGGAGAATTCAGGAACAGTTCAGTTACTTTATTAGCTTACACCTACTAGACAGAACTTGCCAGGCTAACTCTAACCCCCAACGACAGCAACTAAACACTCTGAATTCCTTAGGGTAGTGCCAGTCTTATCCTCTTAGTTTTCACACACTCGGGCTCTGGGCCGAGGAGATGCTTGAGATTCCTCTCCGACCCCCTATGACCTTGGACCTCCTCACTCATGTCTTCCATCACAGTTCCAATGAAAGCCATAGACACAATGCCATATAGCTATGGCAAGGAAGGAAGCCCAGCTCAGTGCACATGAAAGTGGTTCTGAAGTGTATCCATATTTGCCAAAAGAAAAAAGAACTAAGCTGAATTGCAGGCATGAGGAAGGAATGATGGTTGGATTCTCATAAAACTGCAAGGGATAGGGGATCCAAGATCTTACAACAGCAAACATTAAAGTACACAACACTGGTTATTTTGATGCAAGGGGAGCAGAGAATAATCACAAGGTGTCAGATTTTGTTCCTTCTGTCCAGATAAGTAGTGAGTAGAGACCATGAGCTTTGAAGGAGGTCTGTATTGCATGTCCAAACTCAACTGCATGGCAGAGCCAGAAGAGGAAACTGAAGCATCCTAAACCACATGCTCCAAGAGATCCAAGAAAGGGGTCCATCATGAAAGTTGTCCTACTTTGCCAAAATGGAGCAAGTGGAAGAACCCTGCATATGGAAGCACATTAAATGGATGCCAGCCACTGAAAGACACAAATGGAAAAAGGCTGAAGAAGAGGGGATTGAAACTCTGCAAGAATTACATGTGGAAATTTGTCAAACTGACTATAGGGAAGAATATGTAGAATGCAAGTGGTTTTTAAGGCCAAGTACAGTGCAGAAGAGGATGTCCAGCACCAACATCCAGACTAGTGGCCAAAGGATATGTCCAGAAGTATGATGTTGACTGCAATGAAAAATTTACATCAGTAATCAAGCTACTTCTATAAGACACTGTTTAACACAGCAGCAGCAAAACACATACAAATACATCACCTGGATGTAAATACTGGTTTCCTGTATAGAAAAAATCAAGAAAGACATCTATAGACTGAAGCCATCTGGTTTTGAAGAACCAGGAAAGTAAAATATGGTGTGCAATCTTCAGAAGAGCATCTACAGCATGAAGCCAGCAGCTGGAGCCTAGAATAAGAAGCAGAACCAGATGCTTGCCAAGCAAGGTTCACAAAAGATAAAGCACACCATTATTTTTATTCCAGATTCAGAAATCATAGATGAACACATATCTTTTAGTCATACATTACCAAGATAAGAAGGATTGCAAAGAATTTCAACAAGGAAACAGAGGTGAAAGAGCTGGGAAGTATCTTCTACTAATTTTGCATCCAGAAAGAAAAAGAGAAGGATGGAATTTACTCAAATGAAGGTGGAAAATAAAAGACAAATTCTCAGAAAGCTTCTAAACAACTAAAAACTGAGAAGTTGCTTATCATTATGGAATGTAATTCACTAAGCATGTATGAATTACTTTAAATGGCTAATTTGAGCCACTACACTCAACAACAGTTGAACTGAGAAATAATTATAATAACAGCCTTTCTTTCTGAATGAAGATCCTGTCCAAAATAAAGTTAAATGGTTCAGGAAGAGATTACTTGCACAAGAACCCAACATCAGAACATTATTTTCAAACATTAAAAAAAGAATATGGTTTCAAATTTGCACATAAGATTGAGAAAAATAGGTAACACTTTAGAAAAGAGAAATAAGATTCAAAATTCTCTTAATAGGTTAAAGAAATAATCTAAAAGTAACAATGAAATCTTATAGAAACAAGCATAAACATATTCACTTAGAAAATAAAAATGAGATGTAGATGTATATGAAGAGGGACATCTAGTTTGGTAATAGTATTTGTGAAAAAGATCTAGGAATAATAATTGATTACAAACTAATATGAGTCAGCAGTGTGATATAGATGGAGAAAAAGCCAAATTCACTTTTAGGCTTCTGTTGTACTTTGCCCAAAGTCACTTCGTGTGAGATGGGCAGCCATATAAATTTGATAAATAAATAAATAACTTCTAAATCATGGGAAGTAATAATTCTACTTTATTCTGCATCAGTCCCAGCACATTTGAATATTGCACTCCTATGTGGTACAAAGCATGATTGCTTTGAGAAGGATTTGTAAAACTAGAACGAGTGTAAAGAAAGACAACAAAGATGATTAAAGGACTAGAATCTTAGTCCTATAAAGAGAATGTGAAGGAATTAGGAATGTTTAGCTTCATAAAGAAAACTGAGAGGGAAATAATAGCATTTCTCAAATATCTGGAAAATGTCACACAGAAGACCTATTGTTTATCATTCCAAAATGCAGGACATGGAATAATGGATTTAAGTTACAGGAAGACAGATTTTGATTGAATATTAGATACACCATCCTAATAGCAAGAGTAGTTCAATAGCAGAGCCAATTATGCAGAGAGGTATTACGTTCGGATGAATTCAGGAATAAATCAGACAGCAATCTGTCAGGATTGCTTTAAACTAAATTCCTGCACTGAGCACAGAGTTGGACTTGATGGTCTAAATGGCCCCTTCCATCTCTATAATCCAATTATTCTTTTCTTGAGGGATTTTCTTTCATAGAAACAAGTTAAAAGCAGTGATGAGAAAATGGCATCTGGACCCTCCATTAAATTCCTTTAATAAGGCAGTGTTTGAACAATAAAACTCTCATCTGGAAGAATTAAGAAGCCCTTTTCTGAATATGTTTAAACTGATAGAGATGGTTTCAGTTGGAAATATTAACTTATAATCAAGCCAGTTAGCTAGCTAACACAGCCCACAAAACTTGGTGATCCAACTTTTCAGCATGAGAGACTGGTCCAGTGTGTAGTTCAGTGTTTTTCAACCTCAACAACTTTAAGAAGTGTAGACTTCAACTCCCAGAATTCCCCAGCCAGCATGGGAATTCTGGGAGCTGAAGTCCACACTTCTTATAGTTGCTGAGGTTGAGAAACACTGGTGTAGTTAATGCAAGAGTTAGAATTCCTCCCAGTTTTTTTCTGATTTGAGGATAGGCTTGTGAGCTACTGATTGCTCTTCCTCTCCTCTCCACATTCCCCCTCCCTTTTTAATAGATGCTTTATCATCACCTGTGCAGTTCCCCAAGAAACAGGTTGTGCCTTGTTGCTCTCTTGCTATGATGTACCAACACTATAAAAATAGTCTCAAGACTATATAGCCAAGTTTTATAAAATGTAATATGGCAAAATAGATGGGATCTTCTTTCTTGATCAAAACAAAAGTTGGTGTCTTTCATAATTGCAATAGTTAACTGCACTGTTACAATAACATTCCATATCTGAGCCCTCCCCTTATCCCAATAGCTGGGTTACATAGCAGGAAAACTATTTATAAGGTATACTGAAAGCTGGTTAATATTTTTCTTCTCTTTATTACTAATTTAAACACAATGTATGACTGTAGCAACAAGAGTGGACTTGATTTAGTGACTCACATTTTAGTGCAATGGAGGAATAAAGAAAACAAAAGCTGATTCTTATCATGTATGAGACTTAAATCACCATACTGCAAAACTTTTTAAAAAAACTTTGGCTTGCCCCCTGCTGAGAGTCCATCAAGAGGAGTGCAAAATATATCCATGCTCTGGTATCCTGTCAACATGCTTTCTGTTTGGCTCCTTAGCAGATATTTTATCAGTAATAAAATTGAAGATTAATTTATTTGTCTCATGTTAAAAATAGCATTTGTCTGATGTGGTGCCTATTTGAATATACAAAGATATCAGTATATAAAAGGGTTTAAGAAAACAAACTCTAACCATTCACACAAATATGTAGCTTTGGATCATTTTCCTCAATAAATCAATGAACAAGTGTAATTTTTTGACTCACTTGTTTAATTAGGTTCTCTTTATCTAGTTTCAGGACTTGTGTGGAGAACAGAACATGTTTTAGGACATATTTATGCAGAAATATTGAATATTCAAATAGGTTCACAAACCTTTAAGCTCCACTGTATCTATAAAAGTATTTTAAGAATTAAATATGCAATGCTTCTTCAAAAGTATCTGATTCCATGTATGATTTTTAAGGGAGTCTACCAATAAACTCATATAAAGTCTCTTCCATAAGTTGATTTATAATAGGAGCACATAACTGCATATAGCCATTCTTGTTTTTTATTCCCTTAAATGTAGCGTCAGCCCTAAAACCAGCTGAGGATAAACACAATGTTCCCCATAGAAATCCAGAAAGAAGAAACAGAAAATCTTAGTTCACCCCATGTGAAACACACAACCCCACTCAATTTGCATCACTGCATCACTCCTTGCAGCCCTTACCCCA